GGGGTAAGGGCAGAGGGTGGGGTGGGAACTGGGTGGAGGGGAAGTATGGGGGGGGAAAAGAGGAACAACTGTAATAATCTGAACAATAAAGATTTAATAAAAAAAATTAAAAAAGTATTAAATTTGGGAGACTAGCATGACAATGCTCAATAACCTCAATTTTTAACTACCATTAAATACTATTACTATTCTGAAAGCAACAGTGAACACAAATAAAAGAGAACATAATATTTCATTTCCCAGTGATATCCAAATCAGAGCAGCAGTTCACACTGTATCACTCAACTGTTAACATAACGGACTCTAAACTTATAAGTAGACCTAAGTAGAAAGATGTTTACAATATATTCATTAAGAAAAAAAAAATGGCTGAAGTAATATGTACAATGTGACCTGACTTTTTTTAGAATACTGGTATATGTATACATATTTATTTGTACTGTTCTTGTTATATATGTATTTATAGATCTAAAAAAACAACAACCCTGCCCTAGCCAGTTTGGCTCAGTAGATAGAGCGTCGGCCTGCCAACCAAAGGGTTCCGGGTTCCATTCTAGTCAAGGGCACATACCTCGGTTGCATGCTCCTCCTCGGCCCGGGCTGGTTGGGGCTCATGCAGGAGGCAACCAATCAATGTGTTTCTCACATCGATGTTTCTTTCTGTCTTTCCCTTTCTCTCCCAGTCTCCCTAAAAATCAATGGGAAAATATCCTCGGATGAGGATTAACAAAAACAACAACAGCCCTGGCTGGTTTGGCTCAGTGGATAGAGCGCCGGACTGCAGACTAAAGGGTCCCAGGTTCGACTCCAGTCAAGGGCACAACACAGGGTTGTGGGCTTGATTCCCAGTTGGGGGCGTGCAGGAGGCAGCCGATCAATGATTCTCTCTCATCATTGATGTTTCTATCTCTCTCTCCCTCTCCCTTCCTCTCTGAAATCAATAAAAAAAAAACCAAACCAAAACAAAAAAACAAAAACAACAACAAAGAAAAAACTCTGGAAAGATATACACCAAATATTAACAGTTATCTGAAACAGGAAAAGAGGAAAGTTCGACAAGTCTGAGATCATTAAATGTAGATTATTAAACGGAAGCAGCCAGAGTTTTCATTACAATTCTGACTTTTAGTATGCAAAATAAAAGATCCAAAAAGATCCAAAAAGGGAACCTTTTAGAGAGAAGCAGGAGGGAACAGGAAGGCATGCTGTGTTTCTGCATGTATACATCCCAAAGACATAACTTGTTCTAACTTCATGATATTCTTAATCCCACTACAATTGTCCAATGGTTGTTTTCTTTCATTCTCAGTCCTATCTTTCAAGACTCCATTCAAATCCCACTCGCTTCCAGCTCACAGTTCTCTTTTTCCAACAATTTTTTGAAGCTATTGTCTTTACTGCACATTTGAGTACATGGCCATTACTTGCCTTTTATTATTGCTTTTTATAGCTGAAAGAAGATGTAATACTTGGGCACAGCACTAAAACATAGCTGACACTTTATAATGAAAATTTATTGGAACCTTTTGACAGCAAATGATTACTAATAATACTCTCATCAGTTTCTTGAGACTAAAAGTTGATTTTTTCCAGAAAGTCATTCAGTGTTCCCGTAGTACTAACCTTTTCTTGCCTTATCTATTGATTTCAGTTTTTCTTTTGCTTGGTAAACAGCTGTTGCCTAAAGAACATTAAAGAGAAATATGGTTTATTCTTCACAATATCAAGCACAGTTTTTTTGCTTAATTCACAGTATCACTTATCCCACAGGAACAATATCCAATTTGGAAATCCCCACAATTTATTTGTAATATTCTGAAACAGCACTGGATATCATTTACATCACAGCTATACTTAATGAAGCAAATATTATATTCATGAATTAGTCTCCATTCACAAATTACTTGTTAGAAATAACGTATAAATTGAATTGTTTACCAACATTTTTCTTTATGTCCATCATTCAGAAGAGATCTAGACCATGAACCAACCCAAAAGCATCCTATTCTTTCACCTAATTCAAGAATAAAATATCTAAGAATTTATTTTTTAATTTACAAGATATATTCTTGCATTGATCTCTTATTCATTTATATATTACCATTACCTTCATGCTTAGTGACTACTATATGAACTCCTCACCCCACTTCTCACACAGGTACACTGAAGGGTAAAATGAGGTTAACCTAGTATATGCAACCTCAACTATAATACAGTGGTTAAGAATATGGCATTGAAGAGATTTATGTTTAAGTTACATCTCTACTTTTTACCCTCCTTAAAATCTTGGTTTCTTCATCTTTAAAATGCAAAATAACTTCATATAATTGCTATGAAGACTGAGCTAATGCAAGTGAAGAGTAAAGTACAGGGCCTGGTGCACAAGTGATCAATAAATGTCAGTTGCTATTACCTATATCATAAAATTCAGTGTTTACTGTCTTTAACTCAATAATTATATTTGAAACTTAATCCAAAGAATATAATCCGAAATGCAAAAGTAAAAAAGCTTTTCTGAAAGAATATTCATCAAAGTATTCTTTGTAACAGAAAGTTAGAAAACTAAATGAGGATATAATTATATAAAATGCTTTAATTTTAATAAATAGTAATAGAATGTCAATTAGTACCTTATTTATTAAAATAGATAAAAAAATGTACACACCTGAGACTAAAAGGATCTACACCAAACTGTAAATAGTGGCAGTCTTTGAGCAGTGCGACTAAAGGCAATTTTCCTTCTTCTTTCTCCTTTTTTTGTATTTTCTGAATATCCTTTGATAGGAAAACCCAGTTTCTGGAACATCTCCCACCTTGAACAATTCATTTCTCAACCAAGTGTTCACAGAAAAAATGTCTCAGCTATGGAACCAAACTTAGGTTTTGGGCCTGCCAACCCTTTTATGCTGATATATCAGTGTGGCAAAAAGCATCTCTCAGGCAACAAAGGAGAGAATGCTTTTGTTGCTGGCAAAATCAAACAGACTAGTACAATTTTAAAACATAAAGGGGCCACCAAGAACGCTAATGTTGCTAAGGGTGTGAAAGAAGCAATGATTATAGGCAATTGAAGACATAAAAAAACTGTTGTTGATTTGGATAAATGAAAAGCAGTTAGCCAGTGAAACCATTTTGGAGGCAGTGATATATGAACTCACACAGATGCTGCATAAGGACCTGAAAGACACCCCTGGAATGAGTACTGAAAATGATTTCTTTAAGGCAAGTATGGGGTGGTTCAATAAATTTAAGAAAAGAAGTGTTTATTTACAGATTAAACAGTGTATTAGGCATGTACTGTATATAAGAAAGGTCAAAACAGGAAATCATTTGGGGGTCTGGAATGGATTAATTCAATTTATATTATTTCTAATGTGAAAATGTGATTCAATTTTCGAACAAATCGCTTCTTGAACAGCCTTCTGGAACAAAACTGAGGTTCCACTGTGTTACTTTTCTAATGAAAAATAGATTTTATTAGAAGTATTTACTTGGGAGCAAAAAAACAAAAACAAACAAACAAACAAAAAAAACACCCACCACAAAACAAGTAAAGGAAAGAAAAAAAAAAAGAAGTTTTTACTTGGGGTCATTTCTGTAGTAGGAGTGGTTAATTTATCCCAAACTGCTCAGGCTTCTATATATTGGAGCCCACTTTGACACATTTTGGAGAGATTTATCAGGGTCAAGAATGCCAGCTATGTCTGGTCCACATGAAAATCAAACACAGTTGTGTCTGCAACACCACCATACAACAATTACATTAGTTAGTATATAGTGAAAAAACTGGGCAAATAATAGCAAATAAATTGCCTCTTTGAAACAGTAGCCAAGAACAAGAAAAAGAAAAACTTAGAGCCCTTGACATCTATCCTAATCCCACCTAGTTTAGGATGGAAGACTGACTAATATAAATTTTAATCAATTTATAAAATTGGTACATATTTTTACTGATTTTGAAATATTTGACCAGACTGAAAAGTTGTCACTTTCAGACTTGGAAAATCAAGTTTCTGCCACTTCAAAATACTGATAATAGAGCCCTGGCTGGTGTTGCTCAGTGGTGGGGCATTGTCCTGTGCACCAAAAGGTTGCCAGTTCAATTCCCGTTTAGGGCCCAGGTTGCAGGCTTGGTCCCTGGTAGGGGATGTGCAGGACGAAGCTGATCGATGTTATTCTCTCACATCAACAATGTTTCTCTATCTTTCGCCCTGTCCCTTCCTCTCTCTCTCTCTAAAAAATCAATTAAAAAATACTAATAGTAGACTTATTTTTCAAGAATACATGAAATAAACAATATCTTTGTTAAAGAACCAGACTGCCAACTTACCAGTATTTGTTCAGCTTCCTTTAGCTGTTTTTGTAACCGCTGAATATCACTGTCTCTCTTCTCAACTTCTTTTTCTAAAACTTGCATTTCATGGTGAATTTTTCCCTGATTAAGTGCCAATTTCATTAGTTCCTGAAATTCCCCATCTCTGTGAATTAATAACTCCAGCACCTGTCAGGTAATAGTTGATTAAAGCAGACAACAAAATAAAAAACTACATTCCAATGAAACAATCCATCTAATACTTGTCTGGGTCATAAAATTTTAACATATTCAAATATTTTTAATCCTTATTGAAAATAAAAATAGCCTATTTACAATTATTTTGGAAAACATTAATATTTTTTTTTAAAATATATTTTTATTGATTTTTTACAGAGAGGAAGGGAGAGAGATAGAGAGTTAGAAACATTGATGAGAGAGAAACATCGACCAGTTGCCTCCTGCACAACTCCCACTGGGGATGTGCCCACAACCCAGGCACATGCCCTTGACCGGAATCGAACCTGGGACCCTTCAGTCCGCAGGCCGACGCTCTATCCACTGAGCCAAACCGGTTTCGGCGGAAAACATTAATATTAATATTTCCTTCTTTTTGTAATTATGTGTTTATTTTTTCATACAAAACAAAACTAGCCTTTCAGAACTAGCAATATGCTAAACGAACAAGTTTATTAATTTCCCAGGGAAGAAAAAATGAGAAGTTTATCCTTAAAAATAAAATGCAGTGGAAGTTCCCCAATTTTGATACTTGAGATGATTTTAGTTGGCACCAAGAACTTAAAAAACTTTCTATAATTACAAATTTGTGCTAATATTAGAAAAATATAACTGTCACATAAAACCTGTGATTTCATGTATAGTGTTGCTCAGGACGAAGATGATTTATAAAAGAGCAATTTCAAAAAATAGTAAATAAGTTTTGGCACTAACTATAAAGGTTAAGAAGCAAAAAATAGAAAGTTCGGGTTTAAATCTCTAGTTTTTTATTTATTAGCATATGACAAGGGAAAGTTACCTGACCTCTTGGAGCCTGCTTTCTCATTAGGAAAAGGGCATAATAACAGTACCTTATCACAGACAGTTGTTATGAAGATTGATGATGTAATGTATTAAGTACAAATAGAAAAGCTCAATAAAGGGTAGTTATTGTCATCACCCACCTGCCACTGACTATAGAAGATGTAATCTAATCTAAATACCCTTACTTTACTATGCTAGAAGGACATAATATATTAGAAAGGAAATGGCTATCCAAATTCAGAATCAATTTTTAAAAATATATTTTTATTGATTTCAGAGAGGAAGGGAGAGGAAGAGAGAGACAGAAACATCAATGATGAGAGAGAATCATTGATCAGCTGCCCCCTGCACGCCCCCTACTGGGGATCAAGCCCGCAACACAGGTATGTGCTCTTGACCAGAATTGAACCCGAGACCTTTCAGTTCACAGGCTGACACTCTATCCACTGAGCCAAATCAGCTAGGGCCAGAATCAATTTTTAAAATATTATTAAAAATTTGTTAAAGTCTAACAAATACAGACATGGGTGCCCAAGTTCCTTTTGATATGAAATGCCTCTCATTTTTACAGGACTTCTGATAAAATAGACAAAAGACTGTACTACATCCTGTGTTGAAATTTATATTAAGTATCAATAGAAAGCGTTTTTGTAAGAAGTGCATTCTCTTTAATAGGCCTATAATCCCCATTCTTAAGTGACAAGAGGAGAAAGCTAGGTTTCCATTTCCATAAAAACTATATTTAAAAAAAAATTAACCAAAGTGAGTAGTATACATTAGTTCCATGAGAGCTTTCAAGAAATTTACACAGTTTGACCTATTTTATAAACCATCAGAGAGTAGTAAAAATTCTCTTTAGATTTTATTGTTGAGTAGAGAAAATTATTCAACTGAAGTCAAAAGACCTAGATTCTAGTTCCACTTATCCATTAACCTTTAATTCATTTATCCACCCTGAAAGACAATCTCACGGGAGATCAAATTGAAGACCATTAAGGTCACTTCTAACTTTGGAATTCTATATATATGAAAATATGAATATTAAAACAAATGGTGGTTAGAAAGTTTCAAATGGCATAGCCCTCTAATATTTAACAGTTTTAATGAAAATTATACAGGAATTCACACAGTACTAAGTACAAGATATAATTCACAGAATGCTTGTTCTTCTTTTTTTTTTTTAATACTGATTTTAGGGAAAGAGGGAGAAGAGAGAAACATCAACGTGAGAGTGCAACATCAGTTGGCTGCTGCCTGCATGCGCTCTACCAGGGGTTGATGCTGCAAACCGGGCATGTACCCAGACCTGGAATTGAACCAGCAATCTTTTAATGCATAAGCTGATGCCCAACCAACTGGGCCACACTGGCCAGGGCAAGAATTGCTAGTCCTTAAAAAGTATAAGAAAGGTTAGTGTAGGTTTTGGTTATGATCTTCTGACTAAACTGGGTGTCTGGTTCATAGCTAGCATTTACTAAGTGCCTAGAAAATAAAGTAAAAAGTCATTTTTCACTTTTTGCTTATCTATACTAATAAAAGGGTAATATGCTAATTAGTGCGGACATCTTCTGGACATCCTTCTGGACAAAGCCACAGAAGCTGCCTGAGGCTCAGGCAGGCTGCGGATGGCGGCTGCTGCTGCCAGGGCTGGCCCGAGGCTCAGCAGGCCGCGGATGGAGGCTGCCACTAGGAGTGCCCGAGGCTCAGACAGGCCGCCGGCCCGAGTCTCAGGGAAGCCACGGTGGCTGCGAGGGCCAAGGCTTAGGCAGCCGCAGAGGTGTGATGGGGACATTGCCTTCCCCTGATTGGCCGGTTGCCTCCCACAGAGGAAGGCCAGACTGTGGCTTAGGGGGAGCGGGTCTAAGTCGTCAGAAGGACATCTCCTGAGGGCTCCTGGACTGTGAGAGGGGGCAGACTGGGCTGAGGTCCCCCCAAGTGCACGAATTTTCGTGCACCGGGCCTCTAGTCCTATATAATAAAAGCGTAATATGCTAATTGTCTGACTGATCAGTTGACCGTTCAGTTGACCATTCGACCAGTCACTATGATGCACACTGACCACCAGGGGACAGACGCTCCGACCAGTAGGTTAGCTTGCTGCTGGGGTCCAGCCATTCAGGACTGGGCAAGAGGGTTGGACACACCCTGGGCCCTCCCGCAGTCCCTCCCCGGCCGGCCCCCATCAGCCCCAATCACTGGCCAGGCCGAGGGACCCCACCCATGCACGAATTCGTGCACCGGACCTCTAGTTTTGTATAAATTCCTAATTAATCCCACGTTATCTATAATAATAAAAGCATAATATGCTAATTAGATTGGACGTCCTTCCAGACTACCTTCCGGATGAAGCCGCGGCAGCGGGGGCCAAGGCAGAGGTGGCTGCAATGGCGGCAAGGGCCAAGCCCCTTGCACGAATTTCGTGCATTGAGCCTCTAGCTTAATAATAAAGAATTTGAGATTGGGATTCTTTTAATAACACATTTGTCTCTAGGCTCTTTCTTTTTCTGAAAACAAAACAAACCAACATCAACAATAAAAAACTCCAATCCTAATATTCCTTAATCCTAATATCCCTTTTTTTCAACTTGTAGCCTCCTCTTGAGGGAATTGATCATTGAAGAAAACAAGTTCTAGGGCACCTCTATTTAAAGTACATCAGATTTCTCTGCCCTCAAAAGATATCATAAAGTGAAGTTAAGATAATGGGGGAGAAGAGTTAAGATAATCAGACACTGTCTCCTTTTCTGTCTTACCTCTTTAAAAAGGTTAATCCTTCCTATTTCCTCTTAAAAAGTTTTTTTTTAAAATTGTGCCCCCTTCCATAGTATAAAATGTGCACTCTTAAAAAGTCTTGATGCCGAAACCGGTTTGGCTCAGTGGATAGAGCGTCAGCCTGCGGACTGAAAGGTCCCAGGTATGATTCTGGTCAAGGGCATGTACCTGGGTTGCGGGCACATCCCTAGTAGGAGATGTGCAGGAGGCAGCTGATCGATGTTTCTCTCTCATCGATGTTTCTAACTCTCTATCTCTGTCCCTTCCTCTCTGTAAAAAATCAATAAAAATATATTTAAAAAAAAAAAGTCTTGAACCAGAAAAAAAAGTTTACTGTAGGAAATTAGGAAGCACAGAAAAGTATAAAGAAAATAAAAACTACCTGTAATCTTAACATCCACAAAATACGTAACCTTTATTAACAGTTGCATGCGCTTTTATTTCCATTCAGGTTGCATAAGGGAAACCAATCCTATATAATAAAGAGGTAATATGCAAATTAACCCTCACGCCCTCACAAGATGGCTGCCTACAACCAGGCTGGCAGGGGGGTTAGTGGGGGACAACCAAATGACTGAACAAGCAGACTGTGTGGGGCGACCAGGCCGGCAGGGGTGTTGGTGAGGGACGACCAAACAACTGAACAGCAGGCTGCATGGGGCAACCAGGCCAGCAGGCGGGTTAGTGAGGGGCA